ACACAAGGTTTTGTAAGCAATTTTTTGAATCAATCAAATCAAGCTGAAATATATTGCCATTATTACACTGCAAAGTGTAGCATTAAAATGCTTTAATTCAAAATGCATCAATTTGCTATATTCCCATATTGACCTAATCCATGTCACAAAAGTGCATTGCAATACCTAGAGGAGCCTAGTTAATCCAGACATGTTCATTCCAGTGAATATATCTGGACTAATGAGTTTTTCAGATAATTGAATCATGTACATTTTTATTTTATGATGTCATCATATGGTGAACATATAAACTTATATGCTAGCTGTAAATGTACTGTGCATTCAATAATATTTGAAATAAATTAATGAATACATCTATTGTCTTGTGTTTATTTCACATTATTATAACATGCACTTGTACATGTACAGTAAATATAACATACATATACAGTAAATATAAGTTTAAACAATAAATCAAAAACATATCAGACTATGTGCATATACATGTATGTACTGTATATACATTATGTCAATTTTCTCAAGAAATTTGTAACCTTTGTTTGCCTGGATTCTTTGGTGGATCAATCTGCAGTGATTATTTGATTTTTAATAGTGTCCATAGATTCTCAAAGGCTTCACTATTTTGTTTTATGTCATCACTAGTGAATATTGCAGATGGCTGCTCAAAATACAAAATGAGTGTTGCTATGCTGTCCTTGTTTTTGTTGATGGTGATGTCTTTTCCCTCTGAATCTATAATTGTCTTCTTCATTATCTGGAATCTCATCTCTAAATACCAGGGTGAAAATGCCATCATTGTTGACCTGATAATTGAAATCCCATTTTATTCTGAAATGAAGCCCTATAACTCTCCACAACTTAAATTGGATGTTCATGCATTGAGATATGTGATCCATTGAGTAGAATTGGGCCTGGATGTTCATGCATTGAGATATGTGATCCATTGAGTAGAATTGGGCCTGGATGTTCATGCATTGAGATATGTGATCCATTGAGTAGAATTGGGCCTGAATGTTCAAAGGCAGATGCTTGAGGCAGATATTGTAATCCTGCAAGAAAGCCACAAGCAATTGCCCTGCATTTCTATAAAAGAATCACAAAAGGTCCATGCAAGGTGTGGGAGCCAAGGGGTCATGAGTCAAAGACAGAATCTTGGATAAATTAACCAAGATTAAGATATTGTAATTGCAGAGATGATTGGATCATGTGGTATCAGCAATAGAATGGTGTTAGCGGCCATGAGATTTTTTTTCTCCACAAAATCTAATACACTTCTGTTAATCCAGTATCTGAGAATAATGAAACAACGATACAGGAAATACTTCTTTTCTCTATCCCTCTTTTTGTCCATCCTCCCACTTGTATTAACACAATGTCCATGTATGTGTCTATTCCACTTTTAGTTTTGCTGAAAGAGATTAAAGACCTTTGAGATTAACAGATTAAACTTAGTGTACTTGCACATAATTGTCCTAAGTTGTGTCATGTTCCTCAATGATTGCCCTATATCGGATGTCATGGTTTGCTATTTTAAGCTTTACCTTGAAGCTTTTTATCCTACATTCCATTCCTTTCAACAACTTTTGAGCTGTTGTTGATTAAGAGATGAAACTCAGTTAACTCACACATTATCATTTATTATATGCCACTATGGGATTTTATTTTATAGGTCAAGGTTATAACGTAATATTTTAAGTTTTCTATTACACCTTCCATTTTGCTCTATAGTTAGGGTTTTTTTAAATTAAAGAAATCACACTTAGTATTCAGGTACATAATGATTAGAAGGTGTATTGCTTGCCACTTTGTATAATAATAAATGGGTGGGTCAGAATATTCACACTTTCCTTCAAAGCTATAGGGTTAGATTTTGAGATGGGATGAAACTTGGAATATTATTGAACCTGTCTAAAAGAGCCATCTTTGGGAGAAAGCATGTAAGTATTGGATGCGCAATACTAGTCCTACCCTCTTATGTGTGAAGAAGCACCGGGTGGTTGAGTGGTCTAAAGCACTCGTCGTTACTGATCATTGACATGTCAGCACAAGAACTGCTGGATATTAGATAACGGGTGCTGGATAATAGTTATGAAAAAAGACTCATTAAGAGTCGAAAGCGCTTAGGCTAGTTAGTTACTAGTTTCGTACTGTTCGTCGTCATATGTCTACATACTAAACCTAATACTTCCGAACAAACCTGTAGTAGCTTACCAGAGACCAAAAAACCTAAAGGACATCCTAGTCAGGGCAAAGCTAACGCCAATCGCTAGTCAAAACCAACCTAGTCAATCTGGACCCTGTGGCGATAAAAGATGCAAAACCTGTCAACATATGATAGAGACCAAGACATTCACTAGCACAGTGACTAAAGAAAAACTAAACATACATGGTCCTAACAAAACGTGCAAAACAGAGAATGTGATTTATCTCATCACATGTAAGATCTGTGGCCTTCAGTACGTCGGAGAAACTGAAAAGCTACACTAAAGGATAAACCTTCATAGATCTGATTGGATGACAAAAAGGCTGTACAGAAGCCCGGTCGCAGAACACTTCTCCTCCCCATGCCACACTTTCAGTGATATAATACTTATCGCTATTGCTAACAACCACAGCTGGAGTTCCGAAACCAGGAAGGAAAAGGAATCATACTGGATACGCCGCCTTAGAACATTGAAACCAAGCGGTCTAAACCAAGAAGACTAGAAAATGAAAACTATGCACTAGTAAAATTTAACATTTTCTAAATCTTATTATCCTTCAACTTTTACTATAAGAATAACCGGTATAGAATCAAATATCCGGGATATAATCTGCGTTACATATGTACAAAAAGTAAAAATAGATGTCGCTTTGGCTTGTAGACTTTTAGGGAATTATACAACGTTTTCAGTTTATGCATCTAGTCTATACAAGTTGGTTGTATTTATAGTTTTAGCACATGTGAAGACAGCCATGTAGAGGTTTACAAACACAACGTTTTTGTCTTTATTTGTTTATCGTATATATGTTTTGTATTTGCCTTTGAAAAAGACTAATTAAGAGTCGAAAGCGCTTAGGCTAGTTAGTTACTAGTTTCTTACTGTTCGTCGTCAGTTTATTGCATCTATTTTAATTAATCCCTGACACACGTGATCCCTTGGTGGATCCAGTACGCTTGAAAGGGTTGTTATTCGCCATATGATTTGTATTCTTTATATATATATATATATATATATATATATATATATATATATATATATATATATATATATATATATATATATATATATATATACAGACACACACACAAACACACAAACTTGACAAGATTTTAGTTACATAATTTTGAGTTTATATTTGATTATTATTCCAAATTAAAACTATCACCCCATGACCTTCATCTGGCCAGTCATCTGCTGCCTTTACCTCAAAATTATTTACCTGCATTTTTAAATTCAGGACTGTCGTGGGGTGTTCTACTAAAAACAAGTAAGTTCTCTTGACAAATGTTGATATGTTTAATTTTAAGAATATAAAGGTATCAGAGGTGGAATTTGCGTTATAACAAAAAGTATGCTATAGCTAATAATAAATATCTGAAAAAGTATGATAAAAATCTCCCATCAGATTATATTATTTATCTAGACTATGTAAAGTTGTATGAATATGTGATGTCAGAGCCATTGACCTTCAGTGGATTTAATTGGATAATTCCAGATCAATTTCTTAAAAAACTGAAAAGGAATTACGTAAAAATAATTCATATTTTGTTGAAGTTGATCTAGATTATCTTACTTCATTACATGATGTACATACCACTTTGTACAGTCTATGATAATAGAATACAATTTACTTATTACCTGAACAACAAGCTACGACAACAGCAAATAATTCGATTGTTAATAAGTTAGTTCCAAATTTGCTAAATTAAAGAAATTACATGATACATTACAAAAAATTTAAAACTAGCAGTAGATCCTGGATTTATTCTGAAAAAAGTTCCTCACGTACTAAAATTTAAGCAATCGCGGTGGATGTCAAATTATATTGATTTAAATACCAAGCATCGTGCTGTGGCAAAAACAGAATTTGAAAAAAACAAACACATTTTCAAATTAATGAACAATACTATGTTCGGTAAAACAATGGAGAATGTAAGACGGCGAGTAAATACTGAGATTGTAAACGATATAAATCGCAGAAAAAATAGCTAATGATGATGGTTATGAAAATATTTAATGAAAATCTTGTAGCTATACAACGACGTAAAACAAATTTAAAGTTAAAGAAACCAATTTCTGTTGAGCAGCTGCACTTGATATATCAAAGAGGCTGATGCACGACTTTCATAATAATTTTACAAAAAGCAGTATCCATATCTGGAGTTGCTACTTACTGATACAGACTTGCTAGTTTATAATATAAAATGTGAAGATACCTGTCAAGATATTTATAAACACCGTAACCTATTTGAGTTATCAAATTGAAAAGAAAGTAGTGGATTTAATGATGATGAAATTAAAAAGGTATTGATAAAATGAAAGACGAATTTATGTTTGTGCCAGTTAGAGAATTTGCTGGACTTAGAAGTAAAATGTATGCCGCAAATTTAAATGACAATAAAGTGACAAAAAGCCTAAGGTAATCCTCGTAGGCACGTAAAAAATATATGAAATCTGATGACTTTGAATCAGCGGTAAACAATAATGTCAGCTTTATCAAAACAAATGTTATTAGAACGAATCATCACAAACTTCAAACATATAGTATTATATACGTGGACTAAGATGTAATGTGATTATGATTTTTAACGTAGCTTTAACAATTTTTCAGTCATATCGCTACAATGTCTGCAGTGTGGCAGTTTATAGTGATGTCTAGCACTGGAGCATCATGCCGCAGACATGTAGCATGATGTCCCACCCAGTCATATTATCCTGACACCAGGACGACTAGTCCTAACACTAACCTCTTAATACTGAGCGTCAAGCGAGGCAGCTGTTAGTACCATTTTTGTAAGCTTTTGGTATGACTCGACCAAGGATCGAGCCTACTACCTCCTGAATCCGAGACGGACGCTCTAACCACTAGGCCATAAAAGCGGTCAACAAGGCGGAAGTAGCATATGGGTAACGTAAAAGTGACACGGGAAGGAAATACCTTCACCTTTAATTTTGTGTGATGAAATATATAGCAGTTGAATTAACTGAAAGCAAATGCATTGAAAATTTTTCCTGAATACAGTGATTTAGTTAAAATGTTATACCCTTAACCTTATTATAGTTTACATTTTATCATTTTATGCACCAAGACCATCATCCTTGCTGACTCGGAGGTCGGAACTATTTACTATTTTAATTGTCCGTCCTTCTCTAGTGTTAGTAAGAATACCATAAGGGGCTCGTGACAATATATATATATATATATATATATATATATATATATATATATATATATATATATTCTGAATAGGTGATATCAACTCCTCACCCGAAAATCAACATCATCACGGCCAAGATACACTGCTGTCTACTATAGCTTCAGCAAATGTAAATCATTTATTGTTCCCAGTATTTCAGTATTAGAAAACATTAAATGGTACAAAACGAATTCAGAGAGCAACACTTAACAATAATGTTTAAGTCAAAGATTATTAAAAATATATTTCATCTTAAGACGAGTGAAGTAATAGAATACATACGTATGATATCGTTGTGTTATAACATGAAAGGATTTCATAAATTTACAAGACCTCACTTTTAAATTTTTCTTGCATGCAAGTTTTATTCCGTACTATTAGTATATGATATACTACACAGCTTAACAATAAATTCTACACAGATCTAATAGAGGCATTGACATACCCAGACCAGTTAGTGTATAAAATACCAAAGTCAGAGAGTATTAACACACACACACACACACACACACACACACACACACACACACACACAAAATGATTCGTAAAATACATTTCGTCTTTTATCAGAGAAAACACTAGCATTTTTGTTATGCTATCAATTTCTTTTTTTAAAAAAAATATGAGGTTCAGAAGATTATCAAAATATAGACCTGAATTTCACAGAATCCCAGTTTAATGTGTGTGTATGTATATGTAGTTAATTTTGAATAAATGTGACTGAAGCATTAAAATACTATCGCGAATTTAGATAGACAAAATTAAACCTGCACGAGTCCTGATTTCACAATTTTTGTCAGTGTTAGTAATTTTTATAATTATTTCTCAACATAATATTTAAAAAAAATTGTGGAAAGGTGACTGAGCTGCTTTGAAAACATTTCCCTACTGATTTGCCAACACAAAATAAACATTCCTTCGTTATTTCATTTCATTATATATAACAATTTAGGTTTTGTTTCCTTAAAGGCATATTTCAACTGCTCAACTTACCTGGGAAAATAATGAGAATAAATATCATATTTGAAACAAATGCAAATGTCACATTAAATCTCAGACGAAGCTTATAATATTTTTCACGTGGTCCGAATCATCCCGGCATGTGGTCTGAATCTGCCCGGCATTTTGTCCGAATCAGTCTGGCGGCATTTGGTTCGAATCAGCCCGTAATAAGGACCAGATATAATTAGGATCACAGGAAATATCAACTGAAAATTTCTGATCTTGATATGGTTTAATTAAAGAAAATAGGCTTATGACAAAGGTGCATAATAAAATAGTTTGTTTAAAAAAAACATACTTACATGGTGTGTCTGTAAGATTGTTGTAAATATCAGACCATATAACGTTTATTTTTTTTTTTGGGGGGGGATATCAGATCGATGCCCCCCCCCCATCTTAGCCAAAAAAGTACAGTATTTCATATGTATTTATATCCCCTTAAGTTGTGGTGTATTGTGTTTATAGTAGTATTTAGATCAAAAATTTCATATAATGATATTTTTGATGGGTTATTATTTTTCCCTAGTGCTTCTATAGGTGTGTTCATCCGATCAAATTTTAATTATTCTCTCTGTATATTTTACCAGTGTTTCCTCTTGTGACCTTTGCCAATGGTCCCCTTTGTCCTGTGTTTGCTATTTCTAGTATGCTATATGTTGTGAAAGCTGTCGTGAAAGCTATATATGTTTTGTACGGACGGCAATTAAATTGGAATTAATTTCTCCAAGATCTTCGTCCTTCTGGCCATTTTTGTTGGGTTATTTGCACACATATCTGCTGAAAATTTATAAAGGCGAACATTAAATTTATAAAGGCAAACATTAAAATTATAAAGGCAAACATTAAAATTATAAAGGCAAACATTAAAATTAAAAGGCAAACATTAAAATTATAAAGGCAAACATTAATTTCCTTAAGATTAAGTTTCTGTATAGGTCTTACTTTAGCATCGCTATCCAGCTTCTCTTTGCAACCGTACGACACAGCAAGAATGGCCAATTGATTCTTACATTTTTGTGCGTCATTTTATAAATGAAAAGTGTGCAATATACAAACTCTATAACAAACACAGCCTTCAAACGGTCTTGACAATAATTGGCGTATATTGTCGTGTACACATACATGTACGTACACTTCACTGCCACCGTTATCAACCTAAAATATATTACCTCTATTAAAATATTCTACGGAGACACATTCGTGGTTTATATCCTGTGTGTACAGAAGACTATGTAACACTTCTGAACAGAAAAAAGAGAGAATAAACAAAATATAGGTAAACTAAAACGGTTTGCAATATCAAACATAACTAACGCTACCGTATCTGGACATACGGTACAAATGGTATAGAAAAATGGGAACCAGTCTGAAAATGGGTGTGAGTGAATATATATACATATATATATATATATATATATATATATATATATATATATATATATATATATATATATATATATATATATATATATATATATATATATATATATATATATGGGTTTGCCTGGCCAGGATTGAATAATAACGAACATTATGTTTTAGGGAAAATCAGCTCTTGAGTTATAAGTGAACCCCACACCCCCCAAAAACAAACAAAACAACAGAGTCATTGTTTTGCTTATGGAATTCCAGTCCAATAACAGTTTTGAGTTTGGAACACTGATTACTAAAATTAGCTCCTGACTCTTTGGTGCAGAATTGAAAGCACGTTTCAAACACATGCATGTCCAGAAATTGCCGCAGCTCATATAATTTCCTCTACACAGAAGCTGACAGCCAGGTTTTATTTATACTGATAAATACATGTTTGATCATGGGCACTTAGAAATTATAAGGTATTGAATTTTTAATATCATGGTGTTTGCATAAGTGTACTATGGAAACTGAATTATTACCGTGAGTCCTTCTAAGCAATTATTTGCACCTCCGCAATATGGCGGAAGTAGGGTGCTAAGCTTGTGACGTCATGCCGACCCAAACTGGTCGGAATCTTTTCATTAGACCAACAAGTAAGTCTCTACTTTTTTCAGAATAGAAAAAAAAAAATGATCAGAGACCTTCTTGTTGGTCTACCCTTTCATATAACACAGGTCAATTTTTTTTTTTTTTCATTTTATCCAACTCCTCTCAGACTGTATTCAGTAAAGTCATACGGACCTTTCTTGGGGTAGATAAAATACAAGGTTGCATGGAAATCCCATTATCCCTACTTTCGTTTTTAAATTGTTATAAAGCGAAACTAGATTCCAAGTAAATATCTTATCATTTGAAAATTTGTTGGAGAGAATTATTAAACCAGAAAACCGCCAAGTTACAAATATATTACATGAATATTTTTTTTTAAAAAACGTGTGAAAAATTCAGAATGTTCGTTTTAGCGTGATTTATGTACAAAATGTGTCTCACTGGCAATTCGTGACCCATGGACTACCGTGATACCATCAGATGCTTGTTCAAATGGCGGCATATTTTGCTTCAATTATTAAGAAGACAATTGGAGCCGTTTTTGGTAAGACTTGGCAGACCGAGTTGGAATGTAAAGTTTTTAACGCTCATCAATGTAATGTATTTACGAGGATAATATCGCCCAGACGTTGAGGAAGATTCAATTTATTTCAAACAGTGACTAAAGAACCTAAATTATACATATGCTATCGTTTAATGAATGATTTGTTTGTTTCTAAAGAAATTAATTTTGAAAATTGGAATTTATCACGAGAAAATGGTCTTAGATAATGGGTGTACACCAAGTTAAACGAGAGCAAGATTTGGAACGGAAACGGACAATTCGCTGATGCAGCTCATTTCAGGTTAACATTCAAACATGTTAAATTATCATTAGTGATTTTGAACATTTTATCAAACTTTAATTGCAATAATTTAAGTATTCAATAAAAATATATTGTACAGTAGACAGCAAAGATGTCAGAACTGTCAAAAGCAAGTTAGATATCAGTTTTTCTTATCACTATTAGAGCATTGTGAACTATTATTTCCTTTGTCAGATTTGGAGGGTTGGGGATACCATGTCCCCTATTTTTGGGATCTTGTGTGTGACATTGGAACACGATCTTGTACTCTTTACTCCCAGAACATAAAATCCTGATGCTATTTTCCCAGATTTTCAACAACATGCTGGACATACGAGTCCTCAGTTTAACTAATATGATACTTAAATCCTTACATTGATGAATTTATTTAAACACTAATTTTAAAATTAATTTCACATCACATTAATTATTGTATTTATTTGATATCAAAACTCTTTGTTTATGATAGATGGTTATATTGATGGATTAATAGATATGCCTGGGTACAGTATGTAAGATTCTTATGGATTGATTGATATGAATGTGTATAGTATATAAGATTCATATTAATGGATTAATAGAGATACTTGGGTATCGTATGTAAGATTGATATTGATCAATTGATGTTATTGCTAAATATGCCTGTGTATATTATGTAAGATTCATATTGATGGATTGATAAATATGCCCGTGTACAGTTTGTAAGATTGATATTGATTGATTGCTGTTATTGCTAAATATGCCTGTGTACAGTATATAAGATTCAAATAGATGGATTGATATATATGCATGGGTACAGTACATAAGATTCATATTGATGGATTGATAGATATGCCCATGTACAATATGTAAGATTCAGATGGATTGATAG